AAAACTATATTCAACTTCATTGTGCAGTAATAAGTCTCCAGACCCTTGTTCCCTCTGCTTCCTTACTCTCCAGATTGCAGGGTAAAACAAAGGGGGCATTATGTAGAGTATGGGCATATCTGGTGTTGCCAAGTCTTACAGTTTTAACATGAGTCTGGTGACATTTGCTGCTTTTCTTAAAGCACAGCTCCTACAGACAAGTGAGTTCGTGAGAATCTCAGCCTTAATATTTTTAAAGGTAAGTTTCTAGCCCTCAAGGTTGTAGAAAAAGCATGAAAATGTGACCTGCATGTGTATTTAAAGTCCGAGAAAGGAGAAGACAAATAGAATCCCAAAAATATAATATCTCGTGATTTTTAAAGCAAGTCTCATGATTTTTGGAGACTTGACCCATTACTTCTGTACACTTGGGATTGGCAGTACATTATGACTGAATAGATGGTGGTTTATTTGCAACCTTTGCATGCCACTGACAAATGTACCCTCACACTTGCTTCTTTGCTCTTATTCCTTCTACAAAATATGAGTAAATTGGTGACTGCCGCAGGATTGGATTCTGCTCCTTTACTTATCCTGCTAGACAGTTTCAACCTTTGGCTTTTACATACAGCACTGTGCCACTCTTCTATGCAGGAACAAGCCCAGAGTAGTCACCAATAACATTTCACAATGTTCCCTTTCACCTAATTAACATTTACCGCAAAGATTGCAGTATTCCTTGTGCTAAGTACACTGAATAGCCTCAGCATGCTTACTTGCAAAGACCAATTGTAATTTTAATGGCAACCACTGTAAATTGCTGTTTATGTACTATAAGAAAATTAATATCTAAGTGTCCATTTTGTTTATTCTAAAATTAATTTTGACACTTAGGTTATCTGTTCTTTGCAAAACACATCTATCAAAGGCAGGGAAACGATCTCAAATGTCCTTTGAGTTTGGTGGCAAAAATTTTAACAGGGGCTCCCAGGATCTACGGCGCGCTTCTGCCAGCACATCACTGAATTAATGGACTTTAGTCAACACCTTCCTGGACAACCACAAAGCTTCACTAGGTGCAGACTGAAAACTAGATGCAAGAAGGATGAAAGACTGACAATATAGGAAAAGGGAAGGATTTTCTGGCCCGAGTCTGTGATACCTGTAATAATGATAAAGAAAGTAAGATGTAAACTATTTGTCTTTTGAACCTAAAATGTAACACACAGTTAATATCTGATAAGAGTCAGATTACTGCTTGTCTTCATAATTTGCATTTCACAAAACAGAGGCTAGCTGAAATTGTGGCCTTAAATGTTACTACCATGCAAATAAACTGCAAGAAATTTTACAGTAAGTACTGTGCTGTTTGTAGTTGCCAAAGGAGTTAAGGATAATTACACGATACTTTCACAATGTAAAATAAAACATAGGTAGGCTCAGTTTGTAAATTTTAAATTAAATATACATGATTTAAAGGCTCAGGAAAATCTGGCATTCATGAGCATGTTTGATTTATATGTTCATATTCAATACAAACACTGTTGATTCTGATTGCATACCACTTTTACTCTAATGTAAGTATTAATTTAAAAAAAGTTGACTATGTATAATATTGTGATAAATATACTGTAGCTGGGTTCACAAGTAGCAAAATAGAAAGGACAAAAGGCAAGTGGCAAAATTCAGGCTGTTGCAGCCTTAAAGTAAAAAAGTGAATCTCTGTGCTATTCTGAGAGGTGACACACAGAGTAGTGTAAGTTACAGGTTGGACATAAATGTATAATGTGTATGAGTGAGTGTAAATATCACAGTAGTTTTCTGAACAATTTATACCCAGTGCAACTTTCACTTAGCATAACTTTCACCACCATTTTATTATCACTGCGTTTGGCTTATGTACTTTAAGAAAATCATTAAAAATATCACCTTTGATTTTTGTCCCCCAAGGTGCTAATCTTTAAAGCACTTTTTAATTCCATAACAGCATTTATCATGTTTTGGTCCCTTAATAAAATAATAAACATGATTGTAAACACAATAGAGCAGTATGTTCACATCTTTATCTTGCTTATTTTTAAATAATTCTTTAGACTGTAGTGAATTATGTTTGTGTTGGCATATATCAGTTCAGAACTCATCCACAGATTCATACCAACTGCTTATCCTAGGATATCCTTGTTTAAACAGTTCAGTATAACATTTGCCTTCCAGGCACAAATAAGCATGTAATTACTCTGTAATCACATTGTAATTAGTATGTACTATGCATATATTGCATAATTATATGCCCTACAGATTATGTGGTAATTATACTTGGATTTAGCATATAATTCTATATGCTGTATCACAGAGAAAAATTTTTGAGTTTAGAGTAAAGGTTATAATTATATGCTGATGTAGTACAACATTAACATTATTATAATGTTAAGATTATCCGAAAAACAAACGTTTGAAAGTGATGAAAATCGTTGTTAAAGTTTGACATGCAACCTGAACTCCGTGGTGCTGGCTACTGTCTCCTCAATGGCAATACTGGCATATTTTGGTTTAGTATCTCTTCCAAGGATTCTGGAATAATTAAAATTATGTCCTTTTAATTAAAATATTATATATTCTATGGACCTGTCACAACTTGCTTCATCTGCATATGGAATTAGCTTTTCAAAAAACTGAGCTCTTGCTATTTATATACTTGTATGGCTTCATCCCCATAGTATCTGAGCACCTTAAAAACATTAGTTTGTCTTCACATATCTGTCAGATCGGGAGCTATGTTATCCCCATTTTACAGATGGGGAAGTGAGAGAGAAAAAGATTTAGGTGACGTGCCCAAGGTCTCACTGTAAGTCTGTCAGAAAGTTGGGAATCAGCTTCAGATCTCCTAAGACCCAGTCCAGTATCAAACAAAAAACCTCCCTTCCTGTTTAAACTAAGTATATGTGGTCTGGTGTAATATGACTTGAGTGATAGGGCCTGATTCTAATCTCACTTGCACTAGATCAACACTCTTGTGTTTCCAGTGAGTGTAAGTCAGATCAGAATCAGGCTAGTGATGCTGAAGGCCAATTTCCAGTCCAGTGGTATAAATCCAGAATAACTCCAATGAAATCACTGCAGTTCTGGATTTACACTACTGTAAGGGAGATCTGAAGTTGGTCTGTATCGTGTGTTATGTTTTGACTATACTATCTCTCATCTAGATCTAGTGTTTAAACTTCAGACATTGAATGAATGTAAGACCTGATTGGTCCCTCTGGTTTATAGTGGAATGTTGTATCTGTATAGGTTTTGCATTTTATGAGGAGGATAACACACAAACAATGATGATCTATTTACTACACAGGAAAGTGGGATGAAGAAAGGCTTGGAATGTGCAATGTAAAATTATTCTACTGTGACTAGAACATATACCTGGACTGAAAATAGATCTAGTGTTTGCTACTTTTGTGTTGGCTCAGGCTTCAGAGATGTAGGTATGGGAGATGGTAGTGTAATGTCTTGTTTATTTGTATCATACTGCCACTGAGTGACTAGCCCTATAAAGGCTGATGAGTCTCAGCCTCACTTGTGCCACAGTCAATGCTCCTTCCCCGGTGGGTGGAAATGAAGAGGGTCATGTGACCCAATCATGCATTTGGAGTACAAAAGGCTCTGAGAGAAGAGAGATTTCAGCAGCAGCCTGGAGAAGGCTGCTGTGGGCTTCAGGAGCAGGAAGGCTCCTCTTCCAAAGTAGAATGAAAGCAAATTCCACAATCCCAGAATTTGGCTAACTCTACCTCGGAGTAGCTTGAAAGACTCCAAGCAGTAGGACATGTGAGGGGCTTGATGAAGAAGGAAAGGATCAATATATGAACTTTTGAGTATTTTGTTCTGGAACTATGTATGGTAATAAACCAGTGCAAGCTATTGCCTACAAGAAAGCCTTTGTGAATTACTGAGGAGCCCTGACACTGAGGCAGAGATGCTGCAGGCCACCCCATGCTCTGGGGGCAGTGACCCTATTACAATTTAAGAACTTGTCACATTATTTTGCAGTTCATGCTTGCAATTGAAATGATGCATAATGGGGAGTTGTGACTGTGTTTCTTAAATCTACAGTGCTGGGTGGGCCCTGACTATTTATGGCAGTTAAAATTATTTGTCTACCCTTAACTCCAATTTTCTTCATTGTTGAATGGTTGGGTTTTTTAAAACTTTAATATTCAGATAAATTTTACTAAATTTGCATAATGTATAATTCCTTAGAACTTTCACAGTTACCTTATTGAAGTTTTTAGTCTGTGCATTTCCATAGCTTTGTATCCTTGTGTTACCCTGTGTCTTTAACACTGACTGTAATCACCATAGACTTTGTAAGGTTCAGGGTGCACCTATGGTCCTTTTAAGATTATCTTGCTAGCTCTGTAGAGGTGAGCATGGAGCTTACAAGGTGTGTAGGATGGGCTTACAGAGCTCATAAGCGTTTGACTGCACATGCTAACCTTTCAAGTTCTGTGGACTATGTACCTTGTAAACTCTGTATTAGTAAGCATGTAGTCTGTAAATTCTGCAGAATGAGCATATAAACTTTTTAAGGGTTGGGCAGTATGGTTGTTGATGTGGTTATTGAATGGCAGTTATAGAGTTTTTGGAGAAATGACTAAAAAGTAACCTGAGTTTTAATGTGTTCTTTCACAGTGGACAGTTTTTCCCATGTTGCAACTCCATTGATTTTAATGGCGTTACACCAGGGATTAATTAGCCCAACATGATTTTACTGTATTTGTTTTACAAGGAAGATAAAGTGCAATGCTTCTGATTTTAGTCATCCTTCATTTTCCACCATTATAATTTTAACATATGCTCATGCACTTTCTCTCTCATTAAATTATGAGCCAAAGAAACATAAGAGGTGGACACATTTTCTGGCAGCTAAGATTTCTTAGCTGACAAATATATGCTCAAAGTCTCATTAACTGTGAAATAGATACAAACATTGTAACACAATATAAACCCAATATATTTCTTATTTTTTACAGTGGAGCCAGCACTTTCAAAGGGGAACAACTGTTTGGATGCAGCAAAAGCCTGTAACCTAAACGATACCTGCAAGAGGTTCAGATCTGCTTATATAACCCCCTGCACCAGCAGTACGTCTAATGAAATCTGCAACAAGCGGAAGTGTCATAAGGCTCTCCGGCTATTTTTTGACAAAGTTCCCCCAAAGCACAGCTACGGGATGCTCTTCTGCTCCTGTCGAGACATAGCGTGTACAGAAAGGAGACGGCAGACTATTGTTCCTGTGTGTTCCTATGAAGACAAGGAGAAACCAAACTGCTTGAATTTACAAGATTCCTGCAAGAAGAATTACATCTGCAGGTAAGATAGCACATGGCAGTGAAGTGATTAATGAGGTAGCAGGGAGAACCTTTGGAGCTGCTGAAATTGCCAAGACTCCGAATCAGAATTTCCACCAGGGAACAGGACAGTCGGGGCGGGAGGGGGAACTTGACATCTTCAACTGAACAACAAAAGTCTGCATCTGGTTACAGTATCTGTTTTCTCAGAAACTGTAACTACTCACTACATGATGGAATGATCTTTTACCCCCCTAGGAAAGATATAAAAACAGAAATCTCTTTCCTACAAAATTTTGTTGGAAACCTTTCCTTTCCGTGTCTTCATGAAATGATGACTTAGAATATTTTTTCATAACTGACAAGCTGCAAGAGATGATGGGAAATTTTAATAATATTTGAACACTCTAACATTGCTTATGAATAGTAGTGTAACTGTTAGTGCAGGGGTGGGCAAAGTTTTTGACCTGAGGGCCACATCTGCATGGGGGAATTGCATGCAGGGCCATGAATGGGGCAGGGGGTTGGGGTGTGGGAGGGAGTGCGGGGTATGGGAGGGGGTGCAATGTGCAGGAAGGGCTCAGGGCAAGGGGTTGGGGCACAGGGGGGGTGCAAGGTGCGGCGGGGGTTCAGGGCAGGGGCTTGGGGTCCTGGCTCCGGCCCGGCACTGCTTACCTGGAGTGGCTCCGGTGTGGCAGCGGGGCTCAGGCAGGCTCCCTGCCTGCCCTGGCCCTGTGCCGTGCCGCTCTCGGAAGCGGCCAGCACTACGTCCCTGTGGCCACAGGGGAAAGGTGGGGGGCAGAGGACTCCACGCGCTGCCCTCACCTGCAGGTACCTCCCCCGAAGCTCCCATTGGCTGCAGTTTCACATTCCCGGCCAATGGGAGCTGTGGGGGATGGTCCCTGCAGGCGAGGGCAGCGCGCGGCGCCCGCTGTGCCCCCCCTCTCCCAGGGGCTGCAGGGACGTGGTGCCGGCCACTTCCAGGAGCGGCGCGGGGCCACAGGGGTGGCAATCCCGCGGGCCGCATCCAAAGCCCTGATAGGCCAGATCCGGTCCGTAGGCCGTAGTTTGCCCACCCCTGTGTTAGTGGATAACAGCCATAGCCAGGACCTTATTCACTTCCCTAGCATGTAGATTGCTCATAGGGTTTTTCTGCACAGGGTGGGAATCCTTCCTCTCAGGGTGTGGATATGTTCCTGCTGCAGTAGGCTTGGGACTGTTTTTTTCCCCCTCAGTATCCCCACAGATATTTGTGTTTGACTGATGTATTGGTAGTTGTTGGTCCACTGGTCCCACTCCCAGCCCTCTTCCTCCTCTGTGTACCTGGGCAGTGGGTGTCCCCAGAGGACATCGCTTTGCAGGGCAGAAGGGGTCCTCATGCCTTGAGCAAGCTCCCTGCACTGGTTCTGCTGCACACAGGGCCTTCTGTGCCTCTAGGAAACCTCATACTCCCAGTTACATTCTGTATGTTTATATCAGAAAGCCATTGTACTAATGTTGTATTTTAAAAGCTATACACTAGATTCTCATTAATTGCCAGTGGGTAGATCCCAATGTGTATTGCCCAAATGTTGTGAATTAGCAATGAAAACAAACATTTTAAGAAGTCCAGGATACTGCAGTCGATTATTTGAGAGTGTTTCATATGTATTTTAACTGCCCTGGAGTATATTTTGTAGAAATAACTAATATGACTATGAGGCCTCACTATAGTATTCTACTATTAAACCTTTGGGCTGGATCCTAAAGTGTGCCTGAGCTCTGCTCTGTGCACCTGAGAAGGTGAGTGGGCATAAATAGCCTTCTTCCCTCTCTGTCCTTGGGGAGGCAGAGGGGCCAGATTGGAATAGCCTTTGGTCTGCTCTAAGTTGTGTCAATTGTAGTTGGAGTCATTTTGGATAGTTCTCTGAAAACATCCACTCAATGTGCAGCGGCAGTCAAAAAAGCTAACAGAAGGTTGGGAATCATTAAGAAAGGGATAGATAATAAGACCGAAAAGATCATATTGCCTCTATATAAATCCAGGGTACGCCCACATCCTGAATACTGCTTGTTGATGTGGTCGCCCCATCTCAAAAAAGACATATTGGATTTGGAAAAGGTTCAGAAAAGGGCAACACAAATTATTAGGGGTATGGAACGGCTGCCATATGAGGAGAGATTAATAAGACTGGAACTTTTCTGCTTGGAAAAGAGATGACGAAGGGGGGATATGATAGAGGTCTATAAAATCATGACTGGTTTGGAGAAAATAAATAAGGAAGTGCAATTTACTCCTTCTCATAACACAAGAACTAGGGGTCACCAAATGAAATTAATAGGCAGCAGGTTTAAAACAAACAAAAGGAAGTATTTTTTCACACAACACACAGTCAACCTGTGGAACTCCTTGCCAGAGGATGTTGTGAAGGCCAAGACTATAACAGGGTTCAAAAAAGAACTAGCTAAATTCATGAAGGATAGGTCCATCAATGGCTATTAGCCAGGATGGGCAGGGATGGTGTCCCTAGCCTCTGTTTGCCAGAAACTGGGAATGGGTGACAGGGGATAGATCACTTGATGATTACCTGTTCTGTTCATTCCCTCTGGGCACCTGGCATTGGCCACTGTCGGAAGACAGGATACTGGGCTAGATGGACTTTTGGTCTGGCCAAGTATGGCTGTTCTTACGTTGTAATGCTTCCGACAGGCCCATTCCAGCAGCTCAGTGTCCCCAGAATGCAGCACACACTCTTCATCATGGGAGCAGGGAGTGAGTGGCATAGAGCTAGCTACATTAGTTTTTCAACACCCAAGGATTCCTATGCAAGGAAAATCCCCAGCTGCCTGTTAAAGTAGCTTTTGGCCCCTCTACCATGCTACTGGAGCCGAGGTTCTGGCCGCTACTGAAAAATGGGGCAAGGCCACTGATTCTGAGAATTATGATCTGTAGGGAGTAATGGACTAAGAAGTAGAGAGGGTTCTCTATTCTAGTTATAATCACTATTTGCATTCAGAAAGTGCATTTTCACCAGGTTCTCAAAATGTTTTTCCAACGTTATTTACCCTGATTTTAACCCTGGGTAATAGGGTTATATTATACTCATTATACTGATGGATAAAATAAGGAACAGTTAAATGACTTGCCCCAAGTTACATAATAAATCACCACTGGAACCAGGAATAGAATCCAAGAGTCTTGGCTTTCAGTCCTCACCACACAAACACATTGCTTCCTGCTAAGAATATGTACTTAGAATACAGTATATGCAAGGGGAGTGGAAGATTGTGTGTGTGAGTGTGTGGGGGAGAATGTAAGTTTCACTGGCCTCTAGCATATCCCATTAATGGGAGACTCAAATCCACAGACTTTTTCTAGAGCTCTTGTCACCGTTGAATGGACAGTATCATACTTGAGTAAGCATACAGTGAACCACTTTAAAAGTTCCACCATTTTTGATTGATTCTACAGTTTTCAGTGACATTCAGTACCCATTTAGAGGAGACTAAAACTAGAAATGGTAATGTCTTTCAAAATGGTCTGAGTCTTTATTGGCATCCACTTGTAATTTGCTCCACTGCCTGTATATGTTCTGTTTTACTTCTTAATTTTTAATTTTGCGTTTGCTATTTTGAGAAGCAGAACAATTATTTTTGTTAGGATGAAATGTCCATCTTATAAATTGATTTGGGTTCGATGAGATTAATGTGGTGACTTAGTCTACCCGCCATATTGCCAGGCAGGATTGATTTTCTTCTTATTATTATTTATTACTATTCATAAGCCATCCCTGATAAATGTGATTCAAAGCTTAATCTGATTCCTATCCCCAGGGACTTATTCCACAGCCTCTCTTGGCAGCTACTTCCACTGCCCAAACTGTTCTCAGTTATAGGGCCAAATGCTACCCACACTCAGTCCCTGAGCTGAATATCTCAGAAAGGGTCAGGGAAGAGTTCTCTCTCCAATCCCGTGGCTTGAACCTGTGCACTGCTACTATACCTTACAAGTTTCCGTGCATCCTGTATGTTTAGGCCAGTGGATGCAAATAGTCCTAAAACAGCTGGCCTCCTGTCCTTTACTTCAATCCCAAGCCCCTTCCTCCTTGTGTATGGCTTCTCTAGAGTTCCATCCTGCCTGCCATACCTCCCAGCAGAACAATGGTATTTCCATGGTATTTTCAGCCAAGGTTCCACTGCATTCAGTGTCTGTGGGGTGGATTTGTCCAATAAAGATTTTCTTAATACTTACACTAGGGTTACCATATTTCCACAATCAAAAAATAGGACACTGGGGGGGGGGGAGCCCCGCTCTAGCCCTGCCCCCACCCCCCCCAT